TACAGTCTGGCCTCCAGCCTCATTCCACCTAAACTGCTCTCTCCAAAGTGACCAGTGGCCATTTCTCGATCCTCATTCCCCTTGATCTCTCTGCTGCTTTAGATGTTGTTGATTACCCTCTTCTTCTTTATATTAATCTCTCTAGGTTCTCCTCCCCCTACCTATCTGACCACTTCTTTCTGTCTGTTTTGCCAGATTCCCTTCCAAATCATCTCTCTAACCACAGGTGTCCCTCAATATGTCTAAAATGGAACTCATCATCTTTCCCTCTAGCCCCTCCTCTGTCCTACCTTCCCTATTACTTTAAATGCTCCCAACCTAGGAATCATCCTGTATTCCTCACTATCTCTTCCCCCTGTCCCCCCCCCCAATATTTAATCCATTGCAAAGGACCTGTTTATTTCACTTTTGCAGCATCTCTCAAATTTGCTCTCTTCTCTCCTCTGACCCTGCTCCCATTTGGACATACTGAGTTGAACATGTTGACCGAATATCTAATTGTCTTAAAGGCAGTTGGAGATGTAAGAATGGAGAGCTGCCAAGAGATTGGTGCAGGAAAGGTAGATTTAAGAGTCATCAGCATAAAGATGGTAATTAAATCTATGGGAGCTGATTAGATCACCTAGTAGTATAGAGGGAGAAGAGATGAGGGCCTAAGACAAAACCTTTAGAGGGACACTTACGGTTAGAGGGATGATCTGGAAGGGGATCTAGCAAAACAGACTGACAGGTAGGAGGAGAAAGAACCTGGAGAGAGTGGTGGTGTCTGCCTTGAGTCTCTCCCCACTCCAATGTATTCTCTTTCAGCCATCAAAGTGATTTTCCTAAAGCCAAGATCCAATTCATGTCACACTCTCCTCCTCCCCTCTTCCCACTCACATTCACTCCAGTGTCATCCTATTATTTCCAAGAACAAATACAGAATGGTATTGGTTGGCACGTAAAGCCCTTCCTAACCCAGCCTCCTCCTACCTTTCCATGTACACTTTCTGTACTCTGATCCAGTGATACTGGCCTCCTTCCCTGAACAAGACCCTCCAACTCTGTCTCCAGGCATCTTCTCCAGCTGTCCCCCCTGCCTAGAATGCTCTCCCACACTCTCACTAATGACTTCCCTGGCTTCCTTTAAGTCCACCTTCCTTCCCCAACCCTTCTTAATGATAGATTGATTGATTGATTGATTGCTCCAAGGACTCTCTCCCACCCCTGACTTTAAGAGTTCTCCCAACTTTAACATTCTCTGATACCCCTTATAACCTTTAAATGGTAATCAGTGTGGGGTGTTGGGCATCTTAACGTAGCCATCTCCTTTCTGTACTGACCTCATATCACTGGGCAAAGAGAGAGAAACTCAAATCTGCCCTTCTGACCTCCTGTGTGGGAGCCAAAAGGCTTGAGTCCTTCACAAAACTGGCTGAGTCTCTTGTGATTGGCCAGCAGGGCTGAGTCTATCCCTAATTGGCTCTTTTAGCCTCTGCAGACCTTCCCCCTCCACCCTCCACCCAGGGCTTTGCACCAAGGTGACTGGGAATTAGGTGGGACTTGGGGATTTACACCCTGGAAGCCTGCTCTAAGGGGCTTAGTCACATTCTTTGCATCTGTGGAGATTTCCTTTCCCCTGGGGCTAAGAGAATCTTCATCTCAAGGGTTGGGGGAAGATGGGGAGGGTATCCTCTGGGCTTTTCTTCCCTTCCAGGTCCTCACCGTCTGGGAGCCAGAGGGTCACCCTGCTGGGGAGAAGGGATGAGCTGATTGGGTCTTTTCTGCCTGGGCAATGGAAAAGGAAAGGCTTTACGAAGCCTTTGTTGATTGGTTTCTTTCTCCTAGTACAGCCTCTTTGGTAAACAGTTGAGGTGGTTCACTGGCCCTGGAGCCCTCTAAATGAAATGAGAGGGGCAGCTAAGTGATGGTGCAATGGAGCACCAGTCCTGGAGTCAGGAGGACCTGAGTTCAAATAAGGGCTTGAGACACTTGCTAGCTGAGTGACCCTGGGCAAATCACTTAACTCCGACTGCCTCCAAACAAACTAACTTTAGTTTTGGAAAATTGGGGGGAGTGGGAGATTGGGAGCTGGGAAGGAGAAGTGCTTTAAAATGTCCTGAGCGGGAGGGGCCGTTTCTCTAGTGCTTACTGAGTGCTAGACACTACTAAACGCTCTGATCTCATTTGATCCTCACCACAATTAGATACCATTACACTAGATACTATCATGATTCCCATTCTGCCGTTGAGCAATCCAGGGTTGCATAGCTAATAAGTGATTGCGGTTGGATTTGATCTCGGAAGTTCCTGCTTCCAAGCCTGTCTCTCCACAGTGCCATCTTGATCATCTGTTTGTGCTCTAATTGGTTGTGGGGGCTGTGGCCAGGAAAGATATCCTTCCTCTTGGAATCTCTCACCTTGGATCTCCCAAGCTGGGAAAGCTGCGAGCTCTCAAGTTTTGGGGGGAGGGGGGCACATCTATAACAAGTGGTCTTCTAGGAAGTAACTGAACCAGGTTTTCAACTCTGACTCCAGTCCTAGCGTAGTAGTTATCTCTGCTGAGCATGAAGAACTGGATCCTAATCCCACCTCCTTAGACCCTTACCACCCGTGGGAAGCTGTGGCTTCAGTTTCTTCTGCAAAAAGTGGACAATGAAAGAGTCTGCCATCAGGCTGTTGTGAGGATTAGAGGACTATATGTTAGCTATTTATTATTCATCTAGGGCTTTAGAGGCACTGGAGATGGGAAGGCAGAATGTAGTTCCTACCCTCAGGGATCTTTTACATTCCACTGGGGATGTGCTTTCCTCCAACTGTGTAGGTAGCAAAGGAGTAGATTGAACCTCAGTTTCCTCATCTGTGAAATGGGCATAATAATAGCTACCTCGTGGGCTATTGTGAGGATCAAATGAGATGCTGTCTTTAAGATGCCACGCAAATATTAGGTATTATTTGGATCATTAAAAACACTGAGTCCCCGAATGGAATCTTCTCTACTCTTCCTCCTAGTCAATCTAGGATTCGGCTCCTTGTTCCATCTGTAATCGCTACCTAATAAGTCAACAAGCATTTATTATCTCCTTGTGCAAGACCGTGTGCTCAGTGCTAAGGAGACAAAAATAAAAGTACCTGCCCTCGGGGCATTCTAATGAGAGAATCTATAAATCAGAACTTAGAAGATAAAGAGAGAGTTGATTGACAGTAACCTTAGAGCTAGGCAGCCCAGCTGGGCCTGGAGTTGGGATCTGAATTCAAATCTCCACCTCAGACACTTGTTGGCTGTGTGACCCTAGTGGAGTCATGCAATTTCTCCGAGCCCCATGTTCCTCCTCCTCATGTCTAAAATGCATTAAGGCAGCTTGGGCTAGGTAGTTCAGTGGATAGACCCAATTTCAAATGTAGCCTCAGACACTTCCTAGCTGTGTGACCCTGGGCAAGTCACTTCACCTTGTTTGCCTCAGTTTCCTCATCTGTAAAATGAGCTGGAGAAGGAAATGGCAAACCACTCCAGCATCTCTGCCAAGAAAACCCTAGATGGGGTCACAGAGAGTTGGACAGGGCTGAAAATGACTGAACAACAAATCCCCGCATTCATTGGTGATGAATACAGGTCACTCAAAAATGCTGGGAGATTTGTACCATTTTTCTTCATTTGTTATCCTTCTGGTTTCCTCTAGAAATCCTTTTAGGACCATTAGTTAATTCTCCACCAAACTCTCCTTCTCTATCTTGTTGCTTATCATCCTCCTCCAGGGCATTTTGCAAATGAGTTTAAACCCCAGTGGTCCTTGGAGACCATAATCTTTCCCTTTGGTCTGGAGATCTGGTCAATTGCTTTATCTCATTTTAGTAGATCAGGCTAGAGCTTTTGTGACTCCCTATAGTATGATATCCTTCTTGGAAGGTCCTTTTCTCATTTTTGATGTTTCTTTCGACTCTCGTTCTTATGCGTTGATGATCCGACTGCACACAGACCACTAGCTAGCTGATAAGCTCCTCCATTGGTCCTTTCCTAGCCAAAATTTGGAGAATTTGGTGCTCACCATGTCTAGGGCCCATAAGCGCCATTTTGGGGGGGGGAGGTACCCTTGTACCTGAGCAGCTTACACGTCTTTCCCCTTAATCCTATACCATATTTTCTGACAGTTTTTGATCTCCTCCCCTGTGCCTACTTTCACATTGAAATCGCCACATAGCTACGTATGAGCATTTTGACATCATCTGAGGAGCTTGTGAGGTTCACTGTGGACTTTTCTCAGTCTCTTCCTCCTTAGCAGCAGAAGGCCCTTAAATTGCAGTTCTTTTCACAGTCTTCTTTTTACTTCTAACCACTCCAAGGCAAGGTGACCACATATGCTATGAAATTTATTTTTCAAAATTTAATTTTTTCCCTTGAGAAAAGAGTGAAACTGCTTCATTTGTCTCTTCGCGAAGAAGCTGTGAGCCTTCTTTCCAGATAGTGGCAGTCTTCTGGTCAATCGGTCAGCAAGCATTTATTAAGCGCCTACTATGTGCCAGGCACTGTGCTAAGTGCTGGGGATAAAAAGAAAAGCAAAAACAATCCCCGCTGTCTAACAGGAGAGGTGATAAGATTTAGTGCATCCGCCAATTCTGTGACAGTATTGCTGGTCTTCGAACAAGGGTCTCTCATTTGAGCCACCAATAGTTATCTTAATCTTTATAGGTGGTCTTAGGAATCCTCTGTTCCCTTTTCTGCCCTGGTCACACAGGGCAGAATTTTGTAATTTTGCTGCCAAACTATTGGTGATCACCCCCCGATGAGGTGTCTTTTGGCCCTTAAAGTGTTGTGGGGGGTGAGTAGCGCCTCGCCCAAATGAGCGAGTCATAGAGCTGGGGTCTGAATCCAGGTCTTCTCACTTCAAATCCAGTATTCCTTCTACCTTATTGTGTGGTGGGAAGGAGATAGAGCTATCTATAGCTGGCCTGTTCCCTAAGGCATTCTTCCCTGCTAACCTTCATTCCCCTTCCCCCCACCTCCTCGTCTTATTTTCCTGCAGGTTCCATTGCCTTCCTGGCCCTCTATCTCATATTTGGATATGGTGCATCCCTGCTCTGCAATCTCATCGGATTCATCTATCCAGCATATGCTTCGTGAGTGGGATCCCTCACCAGGGACTAACCCTTGGCTAAGCAAGGGAATGGGCATGGCTGGTCCAGGCTGGTTGAGACTCCATGAGTTCCCCCAGAGGGTCTTCGCATTATCTGAGCCCTTAAGCCAGAAGACTGATCAGCCTGTAGCAGATTAGAAACTGCCCTGGAGTGGGTGCTTGGGAAAGGGAGGAGGAAGAACAGGGGCCCTTGCTCTAAAGGAATCCCAGATCTTGGGAGAAAGACAGCAGGCTGGCCAGTAGTCTAGAGTATTCAGAGAAGGGTCAGCCCTGGCTGGCTGGCTGTTTTCATGGCCCTACCTAGAGAACAGCCTCTCTGAAGTCTAGCCTTACTCTGCCAGTGACTTTTTCCTTACAACTCAGATGTGCCCTACGGCAGAACTAAGTGGAGTAGTTAGGGCTAGCTGGGTAACCAGGTGATCCAGGGAGGGTTCCTGCAAATGAGAACTGTTAAGTGAATCAGGCTTCTAGAGGAAAGGATAGATGGTAGATTGGGAAAAAAAATCCAAAGACCCTTTGCCCCCCTCCCCTATCTGCTTCCTCTCAGTCCCCTCCACCCCAGGGCCTTCCCCCTTAGACTTCTCTGTTGAGGTCCCACAGTCCAAGCCTGCGTGGTAGGACAGGGTCCTTGGCACTCATTCCCTGCTTTTTTTTTCCTCCACAGCATCAAGGCCATTGAAAGCACCAACAAAGAAGATGATACCATCTGGCTAACCTACTGGGTGGTATACAGCATATTTGGCCTGGCTGAGTTTTTCTCTGACCTCTTCCTTTTCTGGTTCCCCTTCTACTATGCAGGGAAGGTAACCAACCAGTGGGCCTAATGGGGGACTTTGGGTGGAGGAGGATAGGGGTTTATTCCTGTTCAGAGAGTAGAAGGATGGGGTGGGTAGGATCTCCAAGTCAGCTGTGACAGATGGGGGGGAGATCTGATCTCTGACCACAGGGAGTGCCTTGTGTGAGGTTGGGCCACACCAACCCTTGCCCTTGCTTTGTCCAGTGTGCCTTCTTGCTATGGTGCATGCTTCCAGCAGGCTATAATGGCTCCCAGATCCTGTATCATCGCCTGATACGGCCCATCTTCCTGAGGCACCAGGCTTCCATGGACAGCCTGGTGACTGACCTGAGCGAACGCGCCCTGGACGCAGCGGCCAGTTTGACCCGGGAAGGTGAGCCCCTTCCCTGTTCCGCCTCCTCAGACACCTCTGGCCTCTTGCTTGGGCACTCTGGCCTGTGCTTCTGCTTGCTTTTCCTTACTGTCTCTGTCTCTGCCTATCTCCGTTTCTGCCATGCTCTCGGGATCCAGTCCTCCAGGTCTTGGCTCACAGCCGAATGGTGCTGACCTCCCAGGTGGTTCCTCAGCTCCCTCCAGAGTCTCCGTACGTAACTGACCTTCCCCACCCCACACCAAGGGTGTCGTAGCCAGGATGGGGGTGGGAAGGGGAAAACCAGGAGGGAATTCATGAAAAGAAGCTTGTGGTATGGGAAGGAAGGGGTCTAGCCCAGGCAGCAGGAGGACTGCTTCTTGTCTGAACTAACTCACTCTGTGTTCTTGGGCAAATCGCTTCTTGCTTATTTCCTGCTCCGGGCATTTAAGAAGTGGTGGTGGTAGGGGGTGGGAGTGGAGGGCCCCTCTGTTTGCAGCTCTGGGCCAGGGGAGGAATGAGAGGTCTCTATCCTATCCCAAGCACTGCTGTCTGTGTTGGAAAGGCAGGATGGGCCAGCCCTTTGGGGACGAGCCCTGGACCTCAAGGATGGAGAGGGCACTGGGCACCTCAGCTTGGGACCAGTTCTCCAATTTTGGTGCTGGGGGGGGCAGGTCCCTTTTTTCCTGTTTGGCTTGTGATTGGGGGCAGGGGGCAGCAGCTTCTCCTTTCTGAGCTACATCCCCCCCATTCCTCTGAGCTTTGGCCTCCTCACCCCTTTCCTTTCTGCCTTTATTACCCTAAAGCAGTGTTTCCCTTCCTCTCCTAGTCCCCACCTCCGCTTCCCTGCCAAGACTGTCCTTCCCATCACAATTTCACTTCTGTATCTATTTCCATCACTGTCTTCCCCTGGTCTCTATTTAGCACCCCTATCACAGCCTATCCCTTCCCTCTTTCTCAAAGTCTCACCTATGTCCCCCTTCCCCCAGCAACCAAGGCAGGCATGATTCACCCCCAGAAGAATAAGTGAAGAGATCACTCCTGAGCCAGAGGCTTCGAATGACTGGACACCTTCCTCCCAGCCCCCTCAGCATCAAGGGATCCTGGCCCATGTCTAAGCAGCTGACCCCTCCCAGTTGTATGTCTCTAACCAACTCTACCCTCTTGGGCTTTAGGACATTAGAGAAGTCTCCCCAGGCTGGGAGGGGTGGTGGGCCTGGTGGGGGACCTCTGTCCATTTAGGTTCTACCAGCACCTGGCCCTGCTGGTACTCAGACTGTTCTAGTATACCATTAACCTTCTGCCTCTTGTCCCCTGTACCACCACTGGCCTCCCATAGGATTCTTGATGTGTCCTGGCTATTCCAGCTGCCCATAGAAAAAAAAAAGTCCTTCACAGGCCCAATTTGCTTGACCTTAAGTTTTTTTGGTGTATTTGTTGTTATTGGGGGGCAGGGGAACAGGGAGGGGGCGTGAGGGGAGTATTAATTGTTAGAAGAATCTCAGCTGTTGTAAGTTGTAAGTTAGAGGCTAGTCCAAGGTGCTTCTAGCACCTTCACGTTCCATATAATGTTCCATATTCCAAGGTACCTCCAAATTCCAACATTTTGTACTTTAAAATACTTGGTTCAACTCAGCCAGCAAGGATTGTCCCAGCCTGTGTAGATGAAGTCTAGGCTGGGAAAGGATTGTTCTACATTTAGCCACTAGAGGGTACCATGGTCCCATCCAATCCTCTACCTATGAATTATTTCATAGTCCTGCCTTCTGCCCCTGCTGTGGACCAGAAGCATGAGCTTCAAAGATATGAGGAACCTTAGATATCTCTACAATCAGGGTTAAATGATTTGCCCAGGGTCACACAGCTTGTGTATGGCTGAGGCCAGATTTGAACTTGGGTCCTCCTGACCCCGGGTCCACTCTTTATTTTTGCAGTTGGGGTAAACACTTTTGTCACACAGCTAAGAAGTGGCGGAGGCAGCATTGGAGGGGAAGGGGAGGAGACTAGGGCATTTCAGAAGCCACTGAAAGCATTGGGGCAGACGAGCATCAGCCATGCTATAGAGAAATGTTCTAGGGACAAGGGTCTAGTCCCAGCCGCTAGACTGGCTGAGGCAAGTTTTTTCTGAAGAATGAGCCTTTCCTCCAGGGAGCAACTCCATCAGGGCAGTGAACAGCATGTGGCTCTAAAGCCCCCAAACAGCCTGTGGGTGTTTGCTGTGCAGGCCCAAGATCCTTTGGTGCACATTCTGCCTTTGGCTTCCGGGCTAGCCTCAGGAAGGGAGGACTCTGGTTATCCAGTAGATAGCTCTTACCAGCCCTGCGGCAGGGGGTGGCTTGGGGCAAGGATGCCTGGTGAGGCAGCCCCTGGCCTGGCCTGGGGCCCCACCTCATCTGCTCCCCAGAGACCATCTATGGAAAGAGCATAACAATTTGTCCCATGCTAAGGGAGGGGAGCTTGGGTAATCCAAACACTAATAATCCCCTACATCAGAATTTTTCTTTAAGTGGTTAATACAGTGTGGGTGGATTCCCTCCACCCTTACTCTCCAAAATTATCTAATCCTCCCCCATACAGAGAAATCTTTGCCAGATTATCCTTTCCCCTGTCAACAAGGGTATCCACATGTCTCCGTATCTAGCAGGAGAATGGGCTCCTCCCCAGAGACAGCTGCATGAGCGGGAGAGTGTGGCATGGTGGAGAAGAGGGTGTGGGAGGAAAGGGACAGGCTGGAAACCTAGAGAGAAGTAGCGTATTGTGGAAAAATCAACACAGGCTAGAGACCAGGTTCAAAAGGAGAATCTACAAAGGGTAACCAGAAGTTACCCTTTGGGGTTCTCTGGGATTCAGAAGTCTGTTTCAGTGTAAGTGTGAGACTTCCTCCTAGAGGCAGCTAGGTGATGCAGTGGATAGCTGAAGCCAGAAAGACTTAAGTTCAAACCTGGCCTCAGACACTGAGGTTTGTGACCCTGGGAAAGTCACAAACTTCAGCCTCAGTTTCCTCAACTATAAAAAGGGGATAATAATAGCACCTACCTCCCAGGGTTGTTGTGAAGATCAAATGAGCACTTAGCATAGTGTCTGGCACATTGGGTCACTATATAAATGCTTCTTCCCTTCTTTTCCCCATTAAATGTAAGAACTTCCCTTTGTAGGGCTGTGTTGGCATCTGTTGGGGTTCGTTCATTCCACATTTGTGGCAGACTCTCCATGGACAAAGGGCTATCTCATCTATTTCACCATTTCACTTGGGATCTTTTTTTTTTTTTTGAGGCAATTGGAGTTAAGTGACTTGCCCAGAGTCATACAGCTAGTAAGTGTTATGTGTCCGATCCTCCTGACTTCAGGGCCAGTCAACTATCAACTGCCCCAGGGATACCTCTAATTGTTAGAGAAATGTTCCATAGGGAACTTCTTCCGACCAAAGCAGATATGCTGCCCATTTATGATTTTAATACATACATGCCAGGGAGGCTCAGAGGCTATCTGACATCAAAATGTCAAAGACAGAATCTGAACCCAGGTTGTCCGGTCCTCATCTACTCCAACTTCTGCCCACTGGGGCCAAGCAGAACAAGGCTAAGCCCTCTTCCAGATGATAGCCAAAATCAAATATTTGAAAGGGTGATATCAAGTCCTATTGGTTCCCCAACCCAAACACTGGTGTCGAGGGAGATTATTTCCATACATAGGGCAAGGTCCCCGCCATCATTGACATCATTCACAGCCCAGCCATTGAGACGTGCCAACAACAATGGTGTGCCATCACAAGGGTGGATCACCCCTCTGAGAAGCACCTCAGAGAAGTATGAGACAATGAGTCTGAGGGGGAGGGAGGAGAATCGAGGACGGTTTCCCAGAGAAGTTGGCAACCAAGTAGGGTTTTAAAGCATTGGCAGGATTTCAACAGGTCTTAAGACTTATGTGCTTCTTCTGTGACTTCACATGGATCATCATTTGCCTTCTTAATGGGTGGGGGAGGAGCTGGAGAGAAAATTGGGGACTCAGAAGGAATGTCTAAAAAATAATTTATGTGCCATACACCCCACCAACATTTGTGTTGCCAAGGCACGTGTCCCCCCTATATCCTACATTAATTATTAAATCTAATTGAGTCTGTCAACATCCTCCCTCTATCCCTGTACTCCCTTTCAAACTATCCTGGTTCAATCTCAATCTCATCTCAAACTGTCCAAGCAGTCTTCCTTGACTCCAGTCTTGTGATGTCTCTGCTCAAAAGGGCCCCTCATTCATGGTCTTCCACAACCTGGCTCCGACCTACTTTTTCCAGTTGTCAGATTGTCCCAGCCAATCTGGATGGCTCCCCATTCTTATGTCCTGTTCTCATCTTGCCCTCTTCCAGCTCTGCCTCAGTTCACCCTGTCTCCCATTCCTAGAGAGGCTTCTTTTCCTCCTCTCAGTTTCTGTTAAAATATTAAAGGCTCAGCCCAGGTAACATTTCTTCCCAGAATCCTTCCCTAATTCCCCAGGTCAAGATGACCTCTCCCTCAAATTTCTCCTGGCACTTTGCCTGGTTTACTCTCTTTTCCCATGATCTCATTCTCCCTCATCAAAATGGTGTAAATGTCTTTACCCCTATTAGATTGTAGGCTCCTAAGGAGCAGGGTCTGTGTATCCATCCCTGGCCCCAGCAGAGGGCCTTGGACATAGTAGGTGCTTACAAAGTGTTTCTTGAAGGAATGATTGAAAATTGAGTGTTGATTACATTTGGATGCCTTGTGCCTTTGACTTGATCTGCATCATATGCTGTATCCAAATTGTGTCACTGTATTGTACTATATGTATAGGTGCCCATGGGAGAGAGATCCACTCCTTTGAGTGAGTGAGTGAGTGAGTGTGTGTGTATCCATCCCTGTGGTACCCTGCAGGCTGGAAGCCTGGAGAAAATTCACGGTCCAGAGGGAAGCCACAAAGCAGAGGGAGTCCTGGTCCTCATAGTTCCTGCCTTCTCCTGAAGGTGGGGTAACTACGGCACCAGTGTAGACTGGGCTCCCCTATGCCCATGACCCAGAAGAATCCCCTTGGAACGCTGCCATCCTGGACAGCGTTATTGTAGAATGGATCTGCCCTTTCCAGGGACTCTTGATAGGCCCAGCCTGGTCCTCTCTTGGGGGCAGTCCACTGGGCTAGGCATGGCCCTCTCCAGAGGTTAGGCAGATAGCCTCAGCCTGCTGGTGGGGCCTGGGGACACTGTTTGGCCACCTTCTGGATACGGGCATCTTCTCTGGGAGTCCAGGGCCGGGCATAGCCAGCATGGGGCAGCAGCAGCCGGTCCAGTGTGCCCTCATAGTTGATGTGTCGCTGGGCAGCCACCAGGTACTCTGCTCGAGGGACCAGCAGGGGGCAGGGGCAGGCCCCGGGGGCCCAGAGGAACTCCCTTCGCTCTAGTGGGGTCCAGTTCTTGTAGGAATGTTGCACCTGAATGTCATACCGGGTCTCCTCACCCACACGGAGCTGTGCCAGGACCCGGGCCCGGAACACTGCAGGTATCAGCAATTGCAGACTCAGGAAATTGGAAAGTGGTTTACCCAGCCCCCTTATTAGTAGAGAGCCTCGGAGAGGGCTCAGGATAACCCAGCAAGTCAGCAGCAGAGACAAGGATAGAAAGAACCCAGGGCAGGGCTCCTTCCTCTCACTTAGAATCTTTTCAGGACCTGATACATGTCCTGGCCCAAGCTCTTCATTGTACAAGAAGGGGAAACTGACACCTAGAGGGGTGTGCGTGATTTGTCCAGGCTCACACAGTGAACCAGTTGCGTAACTAGAATTAGAACTCAGTTCAGACTCCTAGTCCAAGGTTGGCCTGTGGGCAGCAAAGGGATGGAAGAGGAGACAGTTTGGTGCAAGGAGAGCACTAAATTTTGAATCAGAGCATTTGGGTTCAGACCTCAGCTCTGTTTATTCCTTGTGTGACCTCGGACAAGTTAACTTAACCTTGTTTTCTTCCTCTGGATAATAAAGGGGGTATAACTAACTGATGTCTAAACTTCTATGGAGTCTATAAATCCAGGAGGCTCAAACCTGAAGGTGAGAGGAGCTGGCAGTTGCGGTGGGAATAGGAAGTCTGGGGCCAAGAGAGCTCACGGAGGGAGGGGAGATCTTACCAAAGTCGCTCCTGCAGTAATGAAGCAGACGCTGGCTCCGTCCCTTGGCACCTGGACATGGCTTGCAGCTCTCTATAGATGGCAATGAAGTAGTTGGGGTGGGAATGGATCTTGGTCTCATCTTGTAGGGAAGGGTATTCAAGAAAGAGGGCCTTCCCTGTTCTCTCACTTAGGGAAAAGAGAGACCCACCTGTTTCAATGGGCTGCTCCCGAGGTGGAGAGAATTCTGGAGAGAAGGGGGCTGGCCGAGTCCAGGCTGGGGTAGCCTCCTGGGACCCCACCTCCACCTCCCGA